TTTTAGGTAAAAATAGTCTTTTTACCTAACAGAAAACACCTCCGCCACGGGAAGACAGTGAGTAGTTTCCTCAGCAGATGCTATTTGAGACGCTGGGTCGTATGGGAGTATTTCGCGAGGTGCAAGGTTGGGGTGACCAGCCTCGACCCTAGACACTCATTTCCGACCAAATGGAGGCTTTCTTTTTATAGACTATTGTACCATGATTTGCCTGGCACACAGTCTGTCCTTAGACAAGTGTGAAATATAATAATAATACCGCTGCTTTGGGAGTCAGGCTTTAGATAGCCGAGGGCTCCGTTGTAAACTCCTTAAGGAAATTTACTTGCCTTGGCTGGGGTAACTCAGCGGTATCGTGCCCTCGAACAAATCATGAACCTTTTTCTTTTTATGAGGATTATTATACCGTGATAAGTTTGGCTTTACTCACTGTCACTAGTGTGCTTTGGACCCTATGGTCCGAGGTTCGAGCCCCACCACCGCCACTCAACTATGGTGGTAGACAGCTTTGCTGTCGTCCGGTTCAATACCACGCCCAACCTGTCGGGGCCTTATGTGGTTCGCCAATCCAGGTCCAGGGGCTTAGGTTACCGGTTGCCATGACGTAGTAGCAGGTGTCCGTGAGTATGGGGTTCGCCCCGTCTGCTGTTCACCACACAACTGTGTGTAATAGCAAAAAATGTGAAAGGTGAGTTTTCCGACTTAGTGAAATGCCTCAATGATATGTTTAGTTCATTTCACTGCTTACTACCATGCACTTTCGTGCGCCGGTTTTGGTTGCTGCCTTTTGGCTCCCCATTTGGATGAACATAAGAAGAAAGACAGGAAAGGTTGAAAGTAGGATCAAAGAGAAAATTGAGAGGTCCAGTGGACTAATGTTGCAGAGAAACTGACAAGATGCAGGAACGCCACTCTTTGCGACAATCAGCCATATCACTCAGTGTCTCTAACCATCGGGTTCGATTATCATGAAGTCCCCAGCCAGGGAGCCTAACGGGACCTATGTGAACCAGACTCATGGTTAGGGTTTTCATGCCCTCGTGCCAGGTCTTAGCTTGACCACCCTTGGATAGTTTCCACTCGGTACCCGTGGTAACCTATCTGGTGACATGCGTAACACATGTCCCAACCAACGTAATCTATGGAGGTGAACTGCTTGCTCCAGTGGACAACCGCGGTTACCAAAAACTCTGTCAAAAACACCGACAGTCTGTCTTTATCCTGTTTTCCTAATGGCCAAGTTTCTGCACCGTATAGCAGGACTGGCCGAATCGTCGCGGCATACACTCGACCCTTCACAAACAGCCGGATGTTGCGACGGCGCCATAGATGTCTCAAGTTGGCAAATGCCAACCGAGCCTTTTGTATGCGAGCTGATACTTCATCTGTGATGCGTCCACCGGGCGGGATGGAGCTGCCCAAATAACAAAACCTATCCACATGCTCTATTACTTCCCCCGTTAGGGTGAGGCTGGATGCTGGATCAAACCAGTCTTGTAGTAGCATTTTACACTTTGAAGGTGCAAAACGCATACCGAATATGGCTACGCTGGCATCCAAGTTATCCAGAAATGTTTGCAACTTATCTCCATCTTCACTTAGCAGCACAATGTCGTCTGCGTACTCTAGATCAGACAGTCTGCCACCTGGGAGTAAACCGATGCCACTATCTTCGCAAGAGGAAAAGGCTGTTACCATATTCAAATCTATAACAAAGTTGAATAGAGAAGGGGAGAGAGGGCAACCCTGATGAACACCACTTTCTGTGACGAACTCGGGCGAAAAAGTGCCGTAAGCTCGGACGCGGTTTCGGCTATTAGTATAAAGGGATCGTAATATTGAAATTAACTTCTCGTACACAACTTTCAGGAAAAGGCAGCGTCAGAGTTTAGAGCGATCGACTGAGTCGCAAGCTGCTTTCAAATCCAGGACAATTACGACAATGATGATGACAATGATGAACACAAGAAAAAGACCATGATAACATTTTTGGCCAATCTAAAACCATTCATTGATAACTTACTTCAGCGTGATTGAAATTGTTCGAATGATTGAGGATCTGCATGGGTGTATATTTTCCAAACTGTTGTATGCAACAGAGAAGATATTAAAGGCACATATACTATACACTTACCTCATGAGCACGTTCTGGCTGAGTGAGTAATGTGTGAAACACGACCAGACCCGATTTCGGTAACCTTGGATTGACTTCGTCACGCTGTAGAACAACAGGTAATGAACAACCCGAGAGGGGGAGTTAAATACGTACCAAGTAGTCAAAATAAAAGGAAGCGAACGGGTTCAGCGTGAGTGATTCAGATTTGTACATATCCCAAATGATATAAAGCGCTGTGAAACGCGAAATAACATCGAACAACAAGTCCTGTTGTAATAACAGCATCTGGATGGGTGAGAGAATTAATGAGTGACAAAAAACATACCAAAACACGACAGACTCTGAAGTGATCACTTTTGGTGAACTGTTTTTGGACGGTGTTAGTAATAGCTTCTAGTGTTTGACATGCGATCCGGTCGGGAAGAAGTACGCTGTTAAAGATGGAGAATTACTGAAGCATTAGTCGTGAAATCAACATCAAGTTAAAAATATTTTCTAGCTATTTATCAAAGAAAGGAACAGAAAAAAATCTCATTTGCTGTAACTTACTTTAACAAATTGGCCATATCCTTGCGGTTTAGCGACATGATTCAAATTTCAAACAAATGAGTTCCTGTGACGAGATCTGTGTAAAAAAAGCTTTCCATTGGGTTAAGATACATATTCAACAATAAGAACTGCAAGAGATCTGTGAAAAGTCACGATTCAAAAATCACAAAAAAAACATGAAAGTAGAACACCTGATCCATCGGCTTCAGGTTACCTAAGGATATAATACTGACGTTTCTACTGCAAACCTTAATTTAATTAAACGGAGACGAGGTGAGACCTGCAGTTCCATGGGTTTGCCGTAATTGAGTGAATCGGCGGAGATCTGGAGTGGTGAACTACATAAAATCATAAGATATAAAGGATAGACACTGGGAAACGCTTGTTTATTTATTTATATACTACAGGGTGCCGTGTTGTCTATGTTCTTGTTTTCCACCTACATCAGTGATCTGTCTGCGAGTTCTCCAGCCCAGTTATTTAAATATCCTGATGACGTAGCCCTTTACCAAGCCATTTCTGTGCCTGAGGACCTTTTACATTTCTCGAATAATCTATTGCATATT